TCTTCATCTCGGTCGGCCGCGGACTGAACCAACAGCTGGCGCTGCGTCTTCCCTTCCCGTCCACTCTGGGAAGCGACGGGCGTGAGGGGCGAAGGGGGCTGGAGGCTGAACCACTGCTGCTGCCCTCCCCCCAGCCAAAGGTGGCTTCAGGGCCCTCTCTTTTATTATTTTATTATTTTAACTGTTGTAAAACACACATAATATAAAAATCTACCATTTTAACCATTTTTCCTCCTTTCTCCCAATTTTTTTTTACAGTAGTAAAACACACATAGTGTTAAATTTACCATCTTAATCATTTTTAAGTGTGTATAGGTCAGTGGCATTCACATTGTTGTACAACTATCACCACCATCCATCTCCAGGACTTTCTCATCTTCCCAAACCGAAACTCTGTCCCCATTAAACAGCTCCTGACACCCACCATTCTACTGTCTGTCCCTGTGGATCTGACTTCTCTGGGTGGAATTATACATTTGTCCTTTTGTGTCTGGCTTATTTCGCTGAGCAAAACATCCTCAAGGTTCATCCATGCCATAGCAGGTGTTAGAATTTCCTTTTTTTAAAGACTGAATAATATTCCACTGTGTGGATGGAACACACTGTTTGTCCATTCATCTGTCCATGGACACTTGGGTTGTTTCCACCTGTTGGCTGTTGCGAATGATGTTATGAACATGGCTGTACAGCATCCTTTTCTCTTAACACCCCCAATCTCTCCCCTCCAGGCTGTGCCTTTCTCACTTACTGTGCCAGGGACTCTGCCATCAAAGCTCAGACTGCTCTGCACGAACAGAAGACCTTGCCCGGGGTGAGTCGGGATGCTATCTGGGGAGGGGGGAGGATGGCAGGGCTGCTCTCAGCCCAGGGAAGGCCGAAGCCCTTCTTGGGATCAGCTGTGAAGCCCGTGTGTCTCTGGACTCAGAAAGAGGTATAAGGCTCAGAGGGACAGAAATGATGACCAGAGTGAGCGTTTATTGAGTGCCTACTGCATATTGGGCCCTAAGTGTCACACCAGAGTGGTTGTGCATAGTTATGCAGGTGGCACCTGGTCAAGGATGTGAGTGTCATTGTCCTGAGACCAGAAGACGAGCAGCATGTGAAAAGGCCCTGAGGCAGGCCTGTGCCTGGTGTGTTAGAGGAACATCAAAGCAAATAGATTTACAACCCTTGATGCAGGTGTTGCTTGGGAGGTATTTCCATCCCTAGGGGAGGCCAGCCCAGGCTCTGTTCCTGCCAGGTCTCTCTTGTCAACCCTGTCCTCTTTAGGTGGCAGAAGGTCCCTTTCCCCAGTGAAGGAGAGGGGTCCTCTGAGTCAAGTGACCCCTGGTCTCCAGGCAGCACCTCCTGATGGAAAGTGAAGGAACCACAGTGAGATTCATGGCTCTGGGGGTGGGCCTTGCCCTTCCCTCTGGAATTCTCAGGGACCCTCAGCATCAAAAGAATTTGGGGGCTGCTTGGGACATCTGTAGCCATCAAGGCTGGGAACAGGAAGTCTGAGGTGTTCCTGCCCAGCGGGTTATAGATAAACCAGATGGCTAGGGAAGGTTTCTCTGAGGAGACAAGCTGATGGCCTGATGAAGGTGAGGGAGGGAGCCATGCACTCTCTGCAGGAAGGGCATCCCTGGTAGAGGACACAGCCAGTACAAAGGCCCTGAGGCTGGACCAAACCTGATGCATCTGAGGAGCAGCGAGAAGGTCAGCAGTGAAAGCATGGGAGTGTGAGGGGGGAGGCAGATGGAGAAGAGGAAAGGGGCAGGACCACATGAGGAGTTTGGATTTTGTTACAAGGGTGGCTGTGGCAATGGGAGGGTGGCTAGCAGAGGAATGACCTGGTTTGATTTCAATTTTCAAAACACTTCTTCCAACTACTGGAGTACTGGGGCTGCTTACAAAGCACCACAAACCAGGGGGCTTAAAGCAACAGAAATATATTGTCTCACAGTTCTGTAGGCCAGAAATCAGAAATCAAGGTGGCAGCAAGGCTGCACTCCTTCTGGGAGGATCCTTTCTGTGACTCTCTCAGCTTCTGGCGGCTGCCAGAAGTTCCTTGGCTTGGTACATTCATCACCCCAATAATTCCCATCTCTGTTGTCACATGGTCTTCTCTGTGTCCATATCTCTCCAATATCCCTCTGCCTTTCTCTTTTAAGGATGCCTGTCATTAGATTTAGAGCTCACCCTGAATCCAGGATGACTTCATCTCCAGATCTGTCACTTAATTCCATTCATAAAGACCCCTTTTCCAAATAAGGTCCCATTTCATTCACAGGTTTTGGAGGTTAGGACTTGGACATATTTTAGGGGGGCCACCATTCAACCCACTACAGAGGGTTACCACACAATAAATCGCCAGATGTAAGGGCGACCTGGAGCAGCGTCACCAGCTGACCTGCATGACAGACTTAGAGAGCAAACAGGGTGGCTCCTTGGAGGAGGGAGCTTTTGAGCTGAGCCTTGAGAGATGGGGAAGACTGTGGCAGATGGAGATAAAGATGGGGGCGGCGTGAGGACGGAGTGTACCAAGACTCGGAGGCAGGAATGTGCCTGGTGTGTTGTTGAGAATACACGAGAGCCTCTGTTGTCTAATGGAAAAGTTTACATTAGGTTAGGAGGAGTTTTCAACCCAGGGTGATTCTGCTCCCAGGGAATGCTGGGCGATGTCTGAGGACATTTGTCATTGTCAAGACTGGAAGATGGTAGAGGCCAGGGATTCTGCAGGGCACAGGGTGGCCCCCCACAACAAAGAACTGACGGTGCCCAGGCGGGTGAACCCTGGGGAGGGGAACAGGAGCAGGCGAGCAGTGCTGATAGAAAAGGGTGTGAGGCACACACGCCATTTACAGTTTCTAGTAGCACCACTGAAAAAGGGCAAAGAAACAGCGAAATGAATTTTAATGCTGTATTTTATTTTTACCCAATATCTCTAAAATCTTATTATTTCCACAGGCATTCAATATAGTTTATTAATTATAATTAGGCAAACTTTAAAATCCCATTCTCTGGTCACACAAGCCACATTTCAAGGGCTCCGTAGCCACATGTGGCTGGTGGCTGTTATACAGCCCAGTATAGTTCTAAAATGTTCTAAGCTCAGCCCAGCAGCATGGCTCAGCAGTGGAGCATCGGCCTATGAAGCAGGAGGTCCCGGTTCAATCCTGGGTCAGGGCACGTGCCCGGGTTGTGGGCTTGATCCCCGGTGGGGGGCGTGCAGGAGGCAGCCGGTCAATGACTCTGTCATCATTGATGTTTCTCTCTCTCTCTCCCTCTCTTTGAAAACATATATAAAATAAATAAATAAAATATTCTAAGCCTAGTGTCAGCAAACTTTTTATGTAAAGAGGACTTTTTTTTTTGCTTTGCCTGGCATATGGCCACATAAAAGCCTCAGACAACATGTAAACGAACAGGTGTGGCTGTGTGCTAATAAAACTTTATTTACAAAAACAGATAGAAGGGTCAGAATAAGGCTGTAATTTGCCAAACCCCATTGTAGACCATTGCTGTCCAATAGAACTTTCTCCAGTGATGGACGTGTCCTGTCTGTGCTGTCCAGTATGGTGGCCACTAGGTCCATATGGCTATTGAGCCTTTAAAATGTGGCAAGTATGACTCAGGAACTATATTTTTAATATTATTTAATTTTAATAAATGTAAATTTAAACTTAAGTGGCTACATGTGGTTAGTGGTTACCACATTGGACAGCTCAAATCTAGAATGTTCTATATCAGGGGTTGGCTACTGTGTTAGTACAGATCTAGAGTGTTCTAGACTGGAGCCAGCTACTGTATTGGAGAGTGCAGACCTAGAACATTCTAGACTAGGAGCCAGCCATCATATTGAACAGTGCAGTCCTAGAATATTCTAGACCAGGGGTCAGCTATTATATTGGATAGCACAGACCTAGAATGTTCTAGACCCAGGAACATGATACAGTATCATCATATGTCTAGACTGCAAGGTTCAAGGTCTCTCTTTGATACCAGCTCATAGTTGGGTTGTGAGGAGTCTCAGGCAATACCCTCTCCTCTCAGGGTCTCAGTTTCCCCAGCCTCCACACTGGGCCTGGGGTGTGCATTATCACCATTGCCCAGCACTGCTGAGGCCCCTCATCTAAATGCCATGTCCACCAGGGGAGCTGGAGCTGCTGCCAGCCCTGTTTGACAGAGGGGGAGACTGTGGGTAAGAGAAGGGACTCATGCAAGGTCACCTAGCAGGGTGAGGGCTGCAGCTATATCCGTCCCACTCCACAGGCCTTGAACCTCTGGCTTGTCTGATTCAGTTTCCTGCAAGCTGGTCCCTTCCCTCCTGGAGGTAAAGGCTGATGTTTGATAAATAAGGGGAAGGTGGCTCAGATCTGGACCCTGGGGACACCCCCCCCCCCAGGCCTGGGCAGCATCCTCTGGGAGTATAGCCTGATTTTAAAAAATTATTTCTTAAAGTTTGCAAAATACCACACGCTTAGAGAAAAGTGCACGCAACACAAATAATCATAAAGCAAACACTCCCATTATTACTACACAGTTGGCACCCTGAAAATCCCCATCCCATGTCCCCAAGCCAAGCCTCTCTTCCAGTGGGAGGAGTCACTATTCTGACTTTTATGGTACCCAACCCCTGCCTTTCTCCATGGCCTCAGCACTTACACCTTTCTAAAATATTAGATGGCTTTTGCCTGTTTTCCTCTTAACCCAATGTCAGTGGAATCATATCATATGTAGGCCTTCCCATCCGCATTTCCCCCCACACTTAGTGTGATGCTGGGAAGAGGCAGGTGGCACGCGTCTGTAGCCGGAGCTTTTCCGCCGCCGCGCAGCGCCACGGCGTGACTGCACGATTTGTCCGTCCCCCTGTTGCTGGCATTCGGGTTGTTTCCAGTTTTTGCTGTTCCGAGCAGATCCATTTCTGTGTGTTGGTTCTGGTGTGCACGCGCCACGTTCCCACTGGGCACATGCCCAGGAGTTCTGATCCCTCAGTGTGTGTACCTTTGGCTTCTGATTAGTGAAGGGCTTGACTTTCCGGGTAAGCCACCCTCCCCCAGGACACCCACAGATATGGGACCAGCCTTTCAGAACCAGATCTGGGGGCTCATTTGCAGATTGCACGGGTGGAGGGGGATTGCTGGGGCAGAAGGCCCCCCTCACCTGTCAGCTGCATCTGAGCACTGAAGTCTGAGCCCCCCCCGCCAGGTGTCTCCACCAAAAGCTGGAGCTGCATGAGGCTCACCTCGTGCTGGAAAAACCAACCCTGCCAGCTCTTGTGCCTGTGCATGCTTGCACACCAGCCAGGGAGTTAGGGACCAGAGCTGAGTCACTCTAGAGATCAAGACAGCCACCATCTCTCCTGTCCCCTGCACCCCTCCCCCCCAAACGTGTGTGTGTGTGTGTGTGTGTGTGTGTGTGTGTGTGTGTTGGGGAAGGCAGTGTGGAGTGGAGACTTCTTTTAATCTCTGGATAAACCATGAAAGGAACGGCTCAGGTCATTTGCTTTCCCTGTGCCTCCACCATGGCTCAACCGAGCTCCCCTCCCCTAATACTTCTTTCTGAAGTGAGAATGACCCTCCTTTCCAGTTCCCCCCTCAAGTGTGCTGGCGGGGTCCGTGGTGGAAACAGGTTAATCAAATCTCAGCGTTCTGGCATAGGATCCTAAATTGAATACAACAGGATCCCAGACTAGAGCCTGAAAGGACCCAGGACCCTGAATCCAGGCTGGGCAAGTGCCTTAGATCCCAGCAGAGGATCTCTGCTGGTGGTTCCTGGAAGTTGGAATGGGTCCCATGGGGGGCGGGGGCAGTGGAGGCCAGTGCAGCC